TATTTGCGGCAATGAGCTTTCGAGTTCTTAACGCCTAATAATAATAATAATAATAATAATTAATATAATAAATTAAGAATAATCTTATACTCTCTCTAAATTGTATTTTTGTTGCACAACAGTATTGATTTACAATTCATGTATGTACATGTAATGGAGATAAATATGCATTGAAGAGAGCAATTTCAATGCAGTACAATCAAGTATGAGCATTATCTACAAAACATGCAAACTTCTGTGATTTATTTCATTTTTTCTCTTTCTCTATAAAATCTAACACCAGACATTCACGATAAGACACATAGATTAGCAAAATGAATTGTGCGTATCATAAATATTATACTACTGTCCGTATTATTGTGAAGCTCAGTTTAGTATAAAAGAAAACTCCACAAAATATTTTTTTATAATTAACCAATCTTTTTTTGTACTCCTCTGAACTGAATGTTTCACGATTTATGAAATCGTTCGAATATCCTATTTTTTAACTAATTTTTAAGTTAATAAAGATATTGCAGCGCAACATATTTTTTAATATATGTACAATATTATTATTGCCACCTGTTTACATGCATTTCCTATTCCTCACTCATGTTCATCAATCATTATTGGAAACATCGTGACTTATTCAAGAAAAGATTTTTTTTTATATTATCACATAAATTACTATTAGAATTTCATGCCATAAAAATTATTAGATATTAAGATATAAGCATACAATGCTTTTATATGTTCAAGTAATACTTTTATAAAATTTGCTACAATTTGTTACAACGCTACACAATATCTCGACATACAATATCACAATTAGAGATCTCTCTAATTTTCAAAAATCGGCTGTTGTATTTAATAAACAATTTTTTATTTTGTCTATTTGTTTTAGTATTAATTACAATTAAAATTGCAATTTTTTAGCTAAAGAGGCTCCTTCTATCGATTCTAACAATTTTCTTTTCAAACTAGGTCTTTCTTCACGTTGACGTTTAATGATCATAGGTAGAGGCAATTTAGGTCCAGCTGTAGGTGCAGGTTTATTACTAAAGTATGGCATTTGCAGTGCTTGATCACATGTACATCTTTCTAATGGATTCACATTCAAGAGACTAGCAATTAAGTCAAGAAGATCATCGCCAGCAGCAGTAAATATATGTTTCAAAGGCATGCCAGGAAAGGGCTTGAATTGAATAAAATCTGGTAATTCAGTCATTCCCTGCCATGTTTCTTCCGTTGGAGTGCCTAATGTCTGAATAACAAAAATACATCAAGATTAAAGAAATAAAATAACTTTTCAGTTATATATTTTAGACCAGGCCTATCCAATTTAAGCTTTGGAGCCAAAAAACAAAACTATCAATTCAGAAAAATTCAATGTAAGATTTCACGAACTATAAATTGTTGAAAAATATCGATCAGACACATATCAATATTTTAAAGTCTCTGAAATCTTACCCATATTGATTTTTTTGCTTCAATGGCTTAGTGTTTTGGCTCTAAAATTCAAATTAGATAGGCCTGTTTTAGATCAATGTATTAATACCTGAAATATTTTAGTAAGTTGATCTAAATCAGATTCACCAGGCAAAAATGGCACTCGCAACAGAAGCTCAGCTAATATACAGCCTATTGCCCACATATCAATGCCAGTTCCATAAAGTCTAGCACCGTAAAGTAATTCAGGCGCTCTGTACCATCTCGTGACTACTTGATGAGTATTTATCCGATTAGGTGATCCAAAAAATTTCGCCAGACCAAAATCTCCAATTTTCAGAACACCTTCTGAATTTACCAATAAATTATTTGGCTTTAGATCTCTATGGAGTATCCAATTGAAATGAAGATAGTCAAGGCCTTGTAGGGTTTGAATCATATATGTCTTTATGTTGGCTGCGGTTAAAACTATATTGCTATCTTTTATTATCACTTCCAGATCAGTGTCCATAAAATCGAATACTAACGATACATTTGATTTATAACCAAAAACATCTAGAATTTTAATATATATGTGCATAATTATTAAATATATACATATATAATTATCAAAATTCATGTTTACGCAAATTATATTATAGTCTGGTTTACATATTATTTGCTTTTACAAGCTATTAAAATTTTTAACATATAAGAATTAAATACCTAACAACCCAATGATATTGTCATGCTTTAATTCTTGCAGCAATTTAATTTCTCGTAAAGCAGTCCGATTTATGCCATCTCTAGCTTCAGCACGACTTCCAACTTTAATCTATATTTACAAATATAAAAAGTTTACAATACAAATTGTATAAGTTGTAAAAATATATATTTTTCATAATAAGGAAACTAACCTTTTTTACAGCCACAATTTTATTCGTCTCTATGTCTTTTGCCTTGTAAACCGTGGCAAACTAAAGTAGACAACACAATTTCTCTACATTTATGTTTATTACATTTTTATAATAATTGAATTATATTGCAGTTATAAACAAAGCTGTGTGTAAATATTATATGCCTTAAATATTTAAATTGAATATTATGTGATTATATACGCTATTACAAGTAAAATTTATGTAATGCATAAAAGCGTTATAAAAATAAATAAATATACGATACAGTATGAACTAAATTATAAAAAATAGTAAAAAACATTCTAACCTGTCCTTCACCCAAAAAATCGATTTTCTCATATCTCCGTACTTTTTCTGTCATCGTCAGCAATAGTTTATTTTAGTTTATCCCAAAAGTTTATATAAATTGTTTTTTCTTGATTATCTTATTTTCAAATGATACGTCTTGTATAATACTCTACTTTTCTCACTGGACAATACGTGTTTACATGACAACCAAAAAAAAGCACGCAAGAAACACAAGTGAACTTAAGCCCATGGCACATATAAAAACATAAGGCTGTAAGACGTAATCAGTGAGCGAATTGCCCAATCAGAATAGAGACCGTAAGGCCGGAATTAGACTATGTATTGAAGATTGAGATTGAAGATTAAAGATTGAAATTTCACCAATAAAAAGAAAAAAATTTTGACTTCTTTTGTTCTGATTGGTCAAACTTCAATTTTTCAATCTTCAATCTCATTTTTTAATGCGTAATCTGATTCCGGCCTAAGGCCAGTAGCGTTTTTGTATGTGCCATGGGCTTTAAGCCTTACGTCTTACGGCTTTAAGCCCATGGTACATACAAAAACGTAAGGCCGTAAGACATAATCAGTAAGTGAATTGTCCAATCACGGTAAAGACCATAAGGCCAGTAGCGAATCCTATTTTACGATTTCTTTATTAATTACGTCTTACGTTTTTCTATGTGTTCCCGGCTAAAGCCTATGATACATACTCTACGGGATGACGTAACCTAGCTCGATGTGAACATACGATAAGAATACCTAAATTGTCACAGAAAAACTAGTCACGGAAATGTCAAAATGACATTTAAATAAATTGGAAATAATTTAAAAATAACTTTTAATGATCATTTTCGAGTCATCGATTATTCCGACATCATTTTGACATCATGACTTATTCTGCTTGGATAGAAAAAGAAACTATGATGCTCGGAAGTTTTGTGTCCACGATGCTAAAAATCGTGGTCCAAGACTTCGGATGAAGAAAGAATTGACCAATCGCAATGGTTATGTGATCAAATTGTTTAAATGTAATTTGTTAATTTGTTCTCTGTCCGAGATCTCGGATCGATTTCTAGCATCGTGGACATCGGGCTGAAGAAATGTGAAACAAGGACAGTACACTCAGCTTTCTGCACTCATAGTACATCATGGCTGCAACTACGAAACGCGAAATATGTTTCACGTTAGTTGGTAAGCCCTTGTCTACTATCGACGACGCTGAGCAAAAGTGGGCGTGGTTTGTCAAACTGCACACACCATGGTTGCGTTCAGCCGATTCAACAGTTGAGTAAGCGCTCGCTGCTATTGGTGTATTCTTTTAGATCATCCAATCAGCATTTAGATCCAGATTAGATCAGATTCCAGATTTTAGATCTGGAAGAACACATCAATAGCAGCGAGCGCTCACTTAACTGTTGAGTCTGCTAACACAGCCCACGTAATCTTTCCATCATGTCTATTACTTCCGAACAAATGAGACATTGATTGGCTATCGCGCCAACTTCCGCCGCACGGCAAGCGTTGCCGCATTGTGTATGCAGGAGCCTTAAAGCCTATGGCACATACAAAAACGTAAGGTCGTAAGACATAATCAGTAAGGAAATTGTAAGATTAGATTCGCTACTGGCCTTATCGTCTCTACCGTGATTGGGCAATTCGCTTACTGATTACGTTTTAGCAAAGGTCTTACGTTTTTGTATGTGCCATGGGCTTAAGTCTATCTCAAATACTCTTAGCAAAGACCGTCTTATTTATTATATATATATATGTCAAATAAGATGTCTTAAGACTTAAACACAAAAAGGCAATAGACACAGGGAACAGGGAATAAAGAGCTTTGAGATATAATATCAAACTTACACACCAGAGCTCTGATTGGATGGCTCGTTATTCCCTGTTGCCTGTGTCTATTGTGTTTAAGCCTTTATAATGACTTATGAATTCGTAACTAAAAAGATAGTCTTAAGTCTATGCTTATTTTGAACATGATGTATTTATGAATCATGTCAAGATCGTTCAAAACGTTTTGAAATAAGATCGTCTTCGATCATTTTTAACTTGAGATTTTACTCAAGTATCGTCTTATTTTTGACTATAAATCTAGAGGACATCTTAAGTACTTAATAAAGTCACTAGATTAACAAAGTACCGCGAACTGCCGTCATTTTGGCTCCATGATGCGCGCGGTTATTCAAAACTTTAGCCTCTTTCGCTACAGTTTTTGCAATTTTCAACACAGCAACTGGGCATTTCGATAATAACAAAATCAGATTTTTCTTCTTCTTCCAGACCCCTGTATGGATTTCCGACTTTTTAACAAAATCAGGATAGCACTTCGACACCATTTTGGCTCTAAATGCTAATTCAGTGAATTTTCTCATCGCGATACTTTGTTAATCTAGTGACTTTACTACTTAAAACAGTCTTGAATATAAGAACGGACTGAATACCGGCCCTATTCTCTATACTTCATGTCTTAAATATAAGGTCTATTATGGCTACGATCCACTTGATGCTACAAATGCTTCAAAGCATTTTTTTATTAATCAATTAGTAAAATTCTTTCTTTCGATTGGTCAATCAAACGCTTTGAAGCATTTGTAGCGTTAAGTGGATCTCACTCTATTGCTGAATTCACATTGGATCCGACGTGCGTCGTACAACGTTTTACAACTAATTAGAAAGTAGAATTTTATTTTGTATTGATGATACGAAGCAAAATCCTGTTTTCTGATTGATTGCAGAACGTCGTACATCGGATCCAATGTGAATCTAGAATATGAATACAGGCAATAAAGTTTTGGTTAATATAGTTAAGTTTTAGAACGCACTTCGAAATATTTCATGATGGCCTAGTTTACATCATGCACTTGATACGGATACTAACATTACTAACTAGTAACTTTCTATTGAATGATCTTAATTTCGGCGATATGTTGAAACATATACATGATATATATATTTAAATAATTATTATGATGTATATTGTATCAATTTAGTACATCATTCTTTAAATACATTGCTGAAATTAAAACAATTAATAGAAAGTTACTAGTTAGTACGTATATCAAGTATGCACGATGTAAACTAGGCCTTTCTGATTCCATTACGGACCATAGCAGTCATTTTGATTAAACGTCTAACTAAATGAGAACAGTTCGATCCAGTCAACGAGTAGCCTCAAAAGTATTTTGCACTGATCTTGCACGTTGCGAAAAATTGTCGGGTAAATGGCGGGTCATAATTATCTGAGCGATCCAAAAAATCCGTTTTTCTCATTAGAAGATGACGTGGACGATGAGACGTTTCTAAGGAACGCTCCAGTCAGAAGTGAACCCGCGGGGCGTTATCAGAACTTTGATAATGATTTTACGCAAACACGCCAACAATTGCTACAACGTAAGAAGGAAATCGAGGAACGCACAGTACAGTCTTCAGAAAGATCTGTTTCGCTTCTAAGAGATTCGGAGCAAATTGGTGTAGCTACAGCCGAGGTAATTATAATGCACCATCAGTTTGCATTCGTCACTAGTATGCTGACAGTATGACAACTGACAGAAAATTTATGTCTGCATATTCAACAACATATTCAATAAATAAATTAATTTTGGTTTTTTCTATGACACTTAAGCCCGATTTCATAATATATGGTTAACTAAAGACTAAAGGTAATCAAGAAATTCATGAATGAATTTCATTGCTGAATCTGTTGGTCTTTAATCTTTAGATATATTGTGAAAACGGTATTATAAATTGTATTATAATTGTATTATAAATATGTATAAACTATTATTTAAATTTATATTTTCAGGAATTAATCAGACAAAAGGAACAGCTGCAGAGGACAGAAAAAAGATTAGATGATATTAACAGTACATTAAGATTTAGTCAAAAACACATACAGGGCATAAAGAGTGTATTTGGTAGTCTGAAAAATTATCTCAGTGGCAAATCTTTAGACGCTCCAATACCATCCACAAAGTTGTCAGAATCTTCCAGTTCTGGATCTATGACATCTCCTGCATTGTCTAATACATTAGAACAAGTACAAAGCAACATAAACAATTCATATTCATCAACAATGATAAGAGGAAGTTATGATGACTATTATCTGGAAGATGTTAAACCTGCCGGCGATAGAATAACTAAAGTTCTCGAACAGAATCTAAGTGAGATGAGTGGATCATTGGCAAGACTAAAACATCTAGCAATTGGTTTATCCGAAGAGATAGATTCACAAAATGATCTAATCGATAATATAACTGATAAAACTGAGAAAGCTGATATAATGTTGCAGCAACAAAATAAAGATATGTTACATTTATTGAAGAAATAAGTTTAACATTCGTCATGTATCAAAAACTTTTTGCTTGTAATAATATATACTAACTATACTTCTATGAAGTATAGATATAGTACATGTTCAGCAAAACAGAACAAATTTTTCACATTAATTTGTATTGTTGAATTAGTGTATGTCAACAGTGCAATCATATTGTGCGACGTGTTTTATAGAGTTTTTCACAAAGCAAAATTATGCAATCTTTACATAATAATTACAATGAAACCTATAGAACATATTTGTTACTAGAGACCATGATCTTTAATGAGGAAAAGCTTTTTCTTTTGCAATTGTCTGTACTATAAAACTGAACGTGATATCTTTACGTGCGAATGTTAAATAAAGGTGTTTTTATTATTTCTTTTTCTTAAGATTTTTTGTAATCTTTTAAAATAAGAACTGTGATAAATGCACACACACATATATGTATTTCTGTATATAATTTCCTAAATAGATCTTGATTTATTAAAAGTATAAAAACTCATGATTTACTAAAGAATTAAAAAGTATACATAGACATATTTATATAATGATGAGAAAATCATATTTATACTATTTTCATTAGTTTTATATAAAGTATTTATTATTGTATAAATAGGTTGAATAACATTTCTGGATGATACAATTTTTTATGTAAAGTATTTATTATTGTATAAATAGCTTGAATAACATTTCTGGATATGAATTTTAATTATTAGGACACTTTCAGAATGCTTGAACTGATGTGAATCTCTACAAATTCGTTTCTTACACTTCTAAATCTTTTTAATTGTTTATGCAATTCTGAATTTATATATGTGCATTATATGTATAAAATATAGTTTAACTGATTTATATGAAGAACAATAATATGCAATATATATAATAGTCGATAGATAATAATTATGTAATTATAATTTATCAATTTCATATAATATTCTTTCCTTCAGTTTTCTATATAGATATAGAATATAAAATTATAGATAATTAAAATGATATAAATACATTTGTACAAAAACTATATACTGTACATTATATCCATATACCATAAGGAAGTGACAGAATGATCCCCAAATATTTCATGTGCTGGTAGAGCAGACTAAATTGAGTCTAAAAGTCTACCATTTTACAATTTTTGCAATAGTTAACAAGTTATTAATTAATAAAAATCGCCGAATATTAGTCTTCAATAATTTTTTTCTCAAATACTATCAATTTTACAGAAAAACAGCAAGAGACAAGAATTGTTTATTTTCTTTTCATAGAATTTCGAGAATTTTTAAAAAATTTTTTAGTACCGCATTTTTTCATATTGATAATAATTGACAATGAGAAAATGCAGTACTAAAAAGTATATAAAAAGTTTTGAAAAAATTCTTAGAGCTCTGTGAGAAGAAAATAAATAATTTTTGTCTCTTGCTGTTTTTTTTTGCAAAATTGATAGTATTGTAAAAAATAATTGAATATCAATATTCAACGATTTTTAGTAATTATTATATAATATTTCATTAACTATTATGAAAATTGCAAAATGGTAGAGGACTTTTCGACTTAGTTTAGTTCGCTCTACTTGCTCATTGAGCGTTGTTGAATTTCTGAATACTGTATATTGTATATGTATATGGCAGGGTGATCCACTTAAATCATCTGAAATATCTCACTTTTTTTATATAAAAAATATCTCAAATAAATGTGGAACGGTTCCGAGGAGGACATACTTTGGTTATGTTTTTTTTTCTAGGTGGAATCAAAAAGATAAAAGTTACTTCCACTTTTTTAAATGGAATTGTATGATTTTTTTACACAGTATGATTCTTTTAATTAATCTGTATATAAAAATATTAAAGTAGTGTTATCAAAAGACCAATGGTTTACGAGATATTTTATACTTTATTTTTACGTATATTTATATAAAATAATAAACGTATTGAAGGACTCTTCCTATATAAAATAAATAATAATAAATAAAGGGTAAAATAAGAGTTAACATATTTCTTTAAAAAAATTACACAATTAAAAGAATATAATACAAAATAACGAGAAGTAAAATTACATAGTTTATTACAAGTTTCGGCTACTGGATTGAGCCCTCTTCAGACATTAACTTATCAAAAAAACCGCAGTACAAAATTAATTGTCGGAAATGTTCGCATATTCGTTATAATCACAATTCGGGTGAGTCATGATGTCGGACTCGACATTATTTGCATACGATTGAACAATCAAATGTGTTTCATATCTCTTGAAAAAGAGATGATTCTAGATGATAAAAAAGATAAAAAGACTTCTTATGAAAAAATAAACGCAACTAAATTAACATACCGGAATTTTACAAAGAAAATTAAAACTCATCAAAAATCATATGCAAATTATTCAAACAAGTGTGTCCATATAAATATGAAAAACCATTAGAATATGTATATAAAGTTAAGTGGAATGCAGAAGTGTAAGACGGACATTGTATATTAAATTATTATGTATGCTCGCTGATCATCAAGGACTGAGAGAAGAGATGGACAGTCAGTATCGAAAAGTCAAACTTTATTTACAAGGTATATATGCCTTGTGAAGATCTTCAGTGTCAGTTTGTAAATAGACTATTTCTTTGCTTTTTAATATTGAGCATCTCGGAAATTAAACGTTTTCTATAACAAGGCTCTTCGTCTAAAATTTTAACATTATCCCATTCAAAATCATGATCTAACTGTATTCCGTTATAACAACAGACAGAAGTGTTATGTCTAATGTGATTGCGATGTTCTGGTTTTCAATTGTCTGCTCGTCTGTCCAACATAAGAAGCATCGCAATTGTTACACGATATTTTATATACTACATTGCTTTTCGATGTATGAGGACAAATGTCCTTCTACTTTGTATTTTTATGTATTTTTATGTATTTGCCCATTTTATTAGGACTATGAAAAGAAAACCTGATGTCGTTTTTATTGAAACGTTTAAATTTTTCCGTGTGAAAAGGAATAAATGGCATCGTAAGCCAAGAAGCAGATTCGTTCGCACAGATATTGTCAGTCAAATCTTTCTGTGTTGTATGTTTATTTTTAATTAAATTTTTTTATACGTTGATTAACTGTATCAAAAATAAAGGTCAATGAGTAGTCATTATCTAATAAAATATTAATAATAAATGTCAAATTTTGTATATGAAACATAAAATCAGATAGTAAAAAAGCTCTGTCAATTAGCGAAAAAATTGTCCCTTTCTTTTATGCCATGGGATGATTAGAATTGAAATTCAAAAACCTCTCTGAAAAGGTCGGCTTATGGTACCAATAAAAAATAAAACTATTCCCATTGATAGACATAGTGATATTCAGAAAATTAATTTTATCTTCCCCTATTTCAGTAGTAAATTGAAGACGCGCATGAAATGAATTAAATTATTTTAGTAAATCTTCAATTTTAGAGGGAGACACCGCGGTACAGACGTCATTTATGTATCTATAATAAAATACAATATCCAAATCCAACGACATCAAGGACACCGTCTCTAGTCTCCTCATTACTAAGTCCGCTATTATAGGTGATAAAGAAGAGCCCATGAGAGTGCCAAAGCTTTGCTTATAAATTTTAATGTCTCTTTTTGTCTCTTGCAGTTTTTCTGTAATGCTATGTAAGAAAAAGAAATTATTGAAGACAATATTCGGCAATTTTTAATAATTAATATCTTGTTAATTATTGCAAAATTTGCAAAATGGTAGAGGACTTTTTTACTTAGTTTAGTTCGCTCTACCTCCCCACGAGCGTTGTCGGTTGAATTTTCCTATATATATACAGGGTAGGCTATTTTAAATCTTTCCACGTTAATAATTCGAAAAAGCATTTTCTTAAAAAAAAAAAAAAAAAAAAAACGAGAAGAAAGTTGTGTAATTTTAAAGGGGGAAGAAGTTAGTGACTTTAAATTAGACTTTGAAAGCATATTTTAAGATCATTTGAAGGTCTTGGACCTTCTTGCTCTTTTTATCCTCTCTCTTACGTGCTCTTTTTCTCCTCCACACTTAGTCATTACGTATCCCAAATATTTGTATTCCTTCACTTCTTCTATTCTTTCTCCCCCCCACCACCAGAATCTTTCCTTCTCCCTCCCTCCTTTATTCCTGAAAACCATTACCTTCGACTTCCCCACACTCAACTCTAATTTCTTCTCTGCTAAGTACTTTTTTACCCCCCTTATCATATCTCTGAGACCTTCTTCTTCCTCTGCTATCAACACAATATCGTCCGCGTACTCTATTGACCATACCTTCTCATTTCCCACCTTAACTCCTCCATTTCTTTTCTTTAACTCTTCCTCAATATCCGCCATGTATATATTAAAGAGCGTCGGGCTCATCGGGCAACCCTGCCTCACTCCATTCTCCACCCAGAATTTTTTTGACATTTTCTGTCCTATCCTCACCACGCACCAAGTCTCCTCATAAACCTCCCTTACTCTATCTATTAATCCTTCGCTCACTCCTCTCTTTCTCATCATATCCCACAACACCTTCCTATCCACTCTATCGAAAGCTCCTTTCAGATCCATAAAGAATGCCCACACTTTCTTCTTCCTTTCTATCTTCCTCCCTATTATATGTTTTAATATCTTTACATTCTCCACGGTACCTCTTCCTTTCCTGAAACCAGCTTGCGTCCTGCACCACCCTTCTTGTTCATCCATTTCTTTTACTAATCTTCGATTCAGGATATTCGCGTATATTTTATATCCCGTGCTCGTCATTGTAACCCCTCTATAATTCCCCGGCTCTTTTCTCTCTCCTCTCTTCCATATCGGAACTACCACTCCACCCCTCCATCTCTCAGGAAATCCTCTCCCC